TAAATAAATAAAATTACACTCTGTTATCATTATGTGGTTAGGATAATTATATTCATGACAATCACTTGCACATAAATTAAAATGGCATCAAACCACAAACCCATGCGTCACTGCAGCTAGATTTTGTCTTCCATTTTTTTCTGTGTCATCGCTTCTTTCTGAAACTACCTTTGTGGTCCTTGACCCATGCCCAGAAGAGTGATGTGAAAGCCCACTCGAGCGCTTCTCTGACTTAGAAGATTATATGGGTGATAGAGTTAGATCAAAGAAAGAAGAAAAATTCTGATGAATTTTACAAAAATTTGAATTTAGGCCTATTCTCCAGAAATGCTTCAGCTACACTACAGTCCACTTTAAAGGTACCAGGTAAATCGCTCAGTGAAGGAGAGCTCATCTAAGCCATTAATAAGGCTGTACCACGTAAGATAAGAGATATATTTGTTTGAAAATCATGAAAACAGCTGCCATCTTGAAAAACCAACCACAATCCTACATATAGGCTACCACCTATATAATGTGATGTATGTATATGTCCTTTTCACTCTCTCTCTCTACCAAATAAAATCTCACTTTTCGGAGTGACGATAAGATCAATGTAATCATGATTCTGGGAGTAATGATTAGATCAATATAGTCTCGCTTTCAAGTGTGATGTAAGATGAATTATTATAATCATGCAGTTCGAAGTGATGATACAATCAATAAATTTCGCTCTCCTGATTGATGAGATGAATATAATCACACTCTTTAAAGTGATGATACGATTAATAAAATCTCGTTCATCCCAGGGATGATAAGTTCAATGTAATCTAGCTTTTCAGAGTAACAATAAACTAATATAATCACACTGTTTGGAGTGATAATAACATTAATAACAATCAACCTCTTCACTTGGATGATATGATCAATATAATCATGCTCTTCGGAGTAATGAGATAATATAATCATGCTCTTTGGAGTAATGTTGAGATCAATGTCATCTCACTGTTTGGAGTGATCATAAGATCAATATAATTGTGCTCTTTGGACTGGTGATATAATTAAACAAATTTTGCTCTTTGGAGTGATAATAACATGAATAATAATATGCTTGATACATATGCTTGTTTGTAAATATTGGTTACGTGTCATAGTCAGTTTTTGTTGAGTTAGCACAGAAAGTAAAGTCAATGATTGCATCACAATGCGTCATTCCTAGCCACAACCAAAATGGTGAAAGAGTGCAAACAAATGCTTATATTGAGCGTTTTTTACCTCTCAGACCTTTTCTTGTCTACTTTATCCTAGCTTTTGGTACTCATACCTTTATTCATCACTGACTGGACCTTTTCTTTGTCATTTAGCTCATAAGGACCGCGGTTACTGAAGATAGCAACATAAATTTTAGATGTTTAAGAATAATGGCAATCAAGAATTCAGTAGACAGACATAGCAATTGTTTCCAGTAGTATGGACTGCTAGTTGACTACCTGCATCTCTAGAGAAACTCATCTGTCTGCGTTTATTTCATTAAAAAAAACCAATTTTGTTAAAATAATAATGAGATGGAAATGATATTCACAAGTGTACTGTATCAAGAATGTAATGATTCATCATGGCGGTTTTCTTTGAAATAGAGCCAAAGAACTTGGTCAGTACATTTAAGAGTATCTAAAGGTACAAAAATTGGTACAGACTTTTCAAAAACCTATTATGCAACTATACGAAGTTTCAGGTTGCTAGCATTAGTAATAAAAAAGTTGTAAGGAGTGGTGTCCGCCAACTCAAACTGAACTTGGTGTAGTAGGTATGGAAGTACTCTAAATGTGCTTATATCCTATTGATGACGCACATCAAAGGTACCGCGTGCACTATAACCCAGCAAGACCATAGCAGTGATCTAAGCCACCCACAACAATGCTTTAACCCACCCACAATGATGTTATAACCCACCCATAATTTAATCAAATATTTTTTCTATTATTTTGAAAAAAAATAATTGTTCTGATGGTCTGGTGTAGGATTATATGCACCTTGATACACATTAATTGTGCACCCA